TTCAGCCGCATCACTTCACACAACAGAAGAACAACCAAAAGTGTAAACTAATCCGGTAACAATTCGAAGCGAAGAAACAAAAGGAACAACAAATTGATAAATTCGTGCACAGTTTTCAACACATTTTCTCTTCGTTCCGAAAGAAAAAAGAGAAAAAGTGTTTTCTTTTTTAAAAATACATCGTTAAAAAGTGGTCATTAATACGTATCAAGCGGCTTTTTGGGGCATATGTGTGTCGATGCGCTGGCAATTGCTTTAAATGTGTGGTGAAATAAAACTTCTGCTCTCCATAAATTGTTTCGTTTTTTTTTTGGGGGGGGGATATGCCGCATTAATCATGGCACGATGAGAGTGCAAAGGATAAATTGAGGCAATTTTTCTCCCGTCTCTCTCTGTCTCTCTTTCTATCTCTCTCTTTTTTTCGATGTGTCTCTCTCATTTCGCCCATCCGAATGAGACACGAAACGAGTCAAAGTAGATGAAACGAGTGAAACAGAGTCAAACTTACGAGCCGCTGTAAATGATGAAAATGAGCCGAAAATAGAGAAATGAAATCGTTAAGTTGTTGATGCGTAACCCCTTTGAAATGATGTTTGTTTTTTTTAACACTTCGAATATATTTTGGTAATATTATCGGCCCGAAGAAGAAAAAAATCGAGAAAAAACACATTTAAAGGCCATGTGCAACCGATGTTTACATGTTTACATCGTGGTGTTTTTTGTTGTTGTTGTTGTTGTTGGTAATTATCATGCAATGATTATGCATTTGCTTTCACCATTTCCATCCAAGCAAACACATTCACATGCGAATGCAACGCATCAATTCATTAGGTTTAATCAGATAAAAGTGGCCATAAATCGAATTTCATTAGCAAAGAGATCAAGTGAATTTGATTCGATCAATTCAGATATTTACAGTGTAATCCAAAGTGGCAAGTGTTTTTTTCTTTTTCTTCTCTTGTCTGTTTCTATCTCGGATTATGTAACTAATTTTAATTCGAAGCTTGAGAATAAAGCGATCATTTCCAAATATTGATGCGTTTGATGATGAGGAAGAATGTCCGATTAAATGTATTTTGGATGTGTTTTGAAGTGTTTTCGACTTGTTCTAGCTTCTAAAAAGCAAAAACATACGAAACATAGATGCAACCCACATAATTCAATGAATTGTTCCAATCCAATCAATATCGTAATCAAATTTGAAAAGAAAAAATGAGGCGTAGGTTGATTTCCATCCAAATTTAGTTCATCTCTTTGCTGATAATCATATATAACCAGAGAGAAAAAAGAATTATGAAATACAGACACGAAAAAAAAGAAAAACGTTGAAAATTGTGAGTCAAGAATGTGTTTCAACTGATAAAAATTGTATTGAATTTTAACAACAAATATAAAGAGCCCATTGATTTATGTCGATTCTATAGCGTGTCTATTTATGGCATTAAAATACGCAATGAATTTTCAATTTTTATTTACATCACGAGTGTGTGTGTTTGTGTTTTGCGATGTGAAGTGACAAACAAAGAGAGAGGAAGAGAGAGAGAGAGAGATCGAGCGCAAAAAATGGGACCCATATGTATAATTGTTGTGTCGTTGAAGCGTATAATGTTGATTGTAATGCATGACCTTTACTTTGAAGCTACATTAATTTATTGCGTTGAGCCAAAGTGCGCAGTGCGCGCGCTGTTTTGGGTGACACAATCCAAACAATACGCTGTCACGTTTTTTTTTTTCATCATTTTCGCGACTTGCGACTTATCGTGCAGCCGTGCAGTGTGCGCGGTGCTAATATGAAATGTGTGTAATTCAATCAATTTACCGAATTTAATACGTTAAAAGTCTCGTTTAATCAGGCAACAACGATTGATTCGTTGATTATAAACTTGACCTTTTCCAATGATTCATTTGTTTTTTTGAAGAAGAAAAAAAAAACACTTTGGCGAAAGAAATAAACCAAGAAACAAACAATTGACGGGCGATAGGGCTTTGCAAATTTTTAATGACAAATGATTGGAAGATGATCAGAAATCGATTCACGTCGCTTAAAGAATGCGATACTTCATGGTTTGTATCGCATTGAAAAAACATACTCTACTGTACAAATTTGACATAAACAAACTGTCCATTAGAGTAAAAAAAATGTGCTGGACACGAACGCAATTCGATAGGAGATGCGTCAGTCGATTTGTCATTTCCACACAGAATGTTTCAAAAATAGACGTCTGTTTTTTTTTTTTACGATAACAACGACTAGAGAAGAGAGAAAAAAATGAAACAGAGTCAACGAAAAACTTCGTGTAGTATGCGGTGTCGATCTGTGCGCCGAGAAGTAGCATTGCTAACCTATGATGACATCATCGTGCCGATTTTCAGCGTTGGTGTTTCATATTTTTTTTCTTCTATACTTTTATTATTTTGACGCTTATTTTATAGTGAGTTCTCTTTTCGTGTGTATATATGTGTGTGTGTGTGTGCCGTTTTACCGCTAGTTTCGCTCTATTTATACACACACTTCACTTTTGCTTTCCAACTCCCTCAACATCACGACAACGACGACGAAACAACAAAATTTACTATGAATCGTATGGCACAAAAAATAGCAAAGAAGAAGAAGAAAAAAAAAATCCGAATGCCTCGAAGCGATTGATTTTTAACAGCAAATCACCGCTATTTGAAACGAATGAATATACGAACAAACCCGGTGTTTTCATCGTATGCATACCAAATGGCATACGTACATTGCCTATCAAATCATTTTACTGTGAATACGACTGTAAAATGTTGCTGCTCAATCGACTTGTTACTCAATGAGAGAGAAACAACAAATCGCTTATCAATTAAATATAAGCAAATGAACATATATGTCAGTTATCATACACAGTTCGATGAATGAACAACAACAACAGCAGCAGTTCACGCACCAAATTCCTTTCGGTTTATGGGACACAGAACAGAAATTACAAAAAACAAACAAACAAATAGGCAGACACACAACAACTCAAACCGAATCAAAGGCGCAATAAGTGAAAGTCAAATGTTTCGTTACGAAAAATCAATGGGAATTTTGTGCACAAAGAATCAAACACAGAAGGCGTAACACCATAGCTTAATCTGTAGAATGAGCGTTTATTGCGTTAGCACAGAGCAGGGCCTAGTTTTTAAAAGAGGAGTTGTTTTGCACATTTGCATAAAATATTAAACGAATGTTTCGTTCCGTATGAAATTCGAAAAGAACAAAAAAAAACTTCACGAAATTACATGGCAAATTTTCGGTTCAGCGGTGTTCTTGCTCGCAACTTCGAGGCAAAAAAATGGGCCATTGATGACATTCATTTTTATCGTAATCAAAATCCTATCAAATGGCTTTCAATTTATGCGTAACCATTTGCCCGTCATCATTCTATTGTACTCCAGTTCAATTGGAAAACAAAAACCTCCGCTTTCATGATTGCTTCATGTATCTTTTGTTGTGAATGTTGAAAAAAAAAATATTTTTCATACTAGGCCCTGCATAAAATACTCGTTATAATTGAATGACAAACGCCTCTCTTTCATTCGATCCGGTATCTGATTCGAATCTATTTTCGTGTTATTTATTACGTATTGCATCGAAGTATTTTGTTTTTTTTTCTTTCGTTGTTTGTTTGCATTTTTTCCGCCTTTATTTCGGATACTTCGATGGAAAGGAGTGATTTTTTTGTTGTTGATAAAAATTCCTAAAGAATTGAAGATTGGTGCATCTACTCGAATAGCATACTCTTGTCCCAATTCATTTTGGATCAAACCAGTTGATCTTATAACTTTTTGAAATTGACCACATTTAATTTAATAAACACATCGCCAAGAAAAAACCATTCGCAAGATTATACCGAAACCGGTTTATAAAACGAATTAATTTGTGTTGTCTTCAAAGTTCCTTCGTTGCTGAAAAACACGAGACTATGTCGCTGCTACACCTAATTTATTGAAAACACTAACGGTTCGTGCTGTGAACTCTGCGGTTCACAATAGTGAATGAACAACGCATCGCACTGTGCTTTGTGCACCAAGAACGTTCGCTTTTTTTTCCTAATTGTACATAGTTCATTTACTTCCCTTAACATTTAATTGCCTTCACCACTCGACACCACACCCACAAGTAACAACACGTCAACGAGAGAATGTGGCTTTTTGCTGTTAAATGTCATGTCAAAATGAATTGGTGTGAATGCACGAATGAATCTCTGAAACAAAGAGGGATAAATGAGGGATTTTTATGTGAAAAATGCTTCCCAAATATAGACGAAGAATGAATAAATTTTATTGTATCCAAATGAACACAAACCGAAAAAATCCGTTGAAATTTTATGAAGAAATCTTTATAACTTTATGATGTCATAAATGAGGTAAAACTGTGCCATATCCAAAATGCATGTATGAGTCACCAAACACAAAGGGCAATAAAGCGGAGTACCGCAGAATAATAACCATTTTTTACCATGTCATATCGAATGCTGAAAAGTTCTGGAGTGCTTGAATTTGAGTTTGACTCGCATTCTGTCGGATAGGACTCGCTTGCAGACTCAGTTTCATTGATTGACTCCCTCAAATGTCGACTCTCTCAAGTTTTGACTCTCTTCCAAATTGTTATTCTCTATCAAAATATGATTCCATTACGGTATTCATTCGGTAGCATTGTTTGGTTGCGAGTCGCAACTTGCGACAATACCAAAACTCGATTTCCAAATATGCGTGTGTAAAGCAGAAGAAAATGTGTGTTTCGTAGCAGGTTACATGTTAATTATCAATTTAATCTTAAACGATGCTAAAATTAAATCAACAAACATCTATTCAAAATATGTTCACATCAAAGCGCCGCATCAAATAAAATGTGTGAAGAAATTCCGGTTCATGTAAATTCTTTCCAGATGAGAATATATTCGATGTTGACCGACCGAGCTGGAGACATGTGAAAAGGTTATGCGTGTGTGTATTTGTGTGATAGCATACCATATCGAAGACGTTTCACAGCAAAAATGAATGTGCGTTCGTGGCGTGTGGAGGCAAAGTGCACAACAGTTGATGAGTTTCTTGCACAAAAACAGCACGAACGAAATGCTGTGATGGCGCTATTTATCTATTCAATTGTTTTTTTTTTGTTTTTTTTGTTGAAAAGAGCTGTACATGAGCATCGCTTTGTTTGTTTAAAAACATTGTTTCTCCCTTTGCATAATCGTGGCGATGATTTCATTTCATTTTACACGTACGGCAATGGGCTGAGAGAAGCGATAAATCCAAACCCAGATCTCATAACGAATTTAATTACGTTGAACCGTCTACAACACGGTGCTAATGCAGTGAAAACTTCCCATTATTTATAGTTATAATAAAGAGAAGAAAAAAATGTTTCATTAGATTCTGCGAAGTGTAAACATTAGTCGAGTCCTAGAGCTTATGAACATGATTCCCTTTCGCACAATGGAATGGGTTAAGCATTACAAAGCGGTGGGAAGCTAATTCAAACGGATCCGCTTTACCAATTTGTTTCATTTATTTACGCTTCTCTCTCTCTCTCTCTCTCTCTCTCTCTCTCTCTCTCTCTCTCTTCCGCAAGGTTAAGTTATTTTCATACACCAAGATTGAATGCAGATTTTCGTAGCTGTTGTTTTTGGGGCCGACAACGTCACACGTATCGTGTAAAAATGTGCGTAAAAAAGTTTGTGCAAAATAGAAAAACTCGCAACATAAAACCGATTTCAATTGTTTTGTTTGATTGCACGAAATTCCATTGGCATTCCATTTAACGGCTCAATCAATTTTTAAATAGAACTATTTCATGTACTTGCTCATTCTTTTACTTTTTTTTTGTTCTTTTGCAAAATAAAACGGGGGAGAGAGAGAGAGAGAGAAAATCGAAAGAAAACAGAAGAAAAATGTTACTTCAGATGATTGAATACATTTTTTCTAAGCACTTAATAGCTACGAGCTATTGAGATCGTTGAGCGTCGTTTTTTTTTCTATTCAAATTACGGTGCAATTGGGAATGAAAACGTATCTACACCATTCAAGTGCGATATCACTTAAAGCTGACTTCTGACTTTGATCACGTAAATAAGAATACGTGATTCGTTAAATGCTTAAATCGTATGTCCATTCACAGCCATCGATGTGGATGATGATGACGACGACGAGACTTTTGCACATTTAATCGACAAAAAAGGAGCTTAAATGTGTCATAGTTGCTTTTTTCGTCTTCTTTTATGTAGTTGCATTGGGAGCCGCTTCTATAAATCCATTCCGAAACGAATCGCATTGAGCATTAGTCGCAACAATTTATTGCAAGTGTACAGTTTTATCGATGACAGCCGGAAATCCGCCGTTCAATTTATAATATTGAAGACAGAAAAACAAACGAATATCAAAACGTTAATTCAATTCAGATTTAGAAAGGAAAACCGTTTCAGAAGGCGGTGAGGTCAATCAATGAACTGGCTCTCTAGCAACCATATACATACACACATTTGAAGTGACGTCAAACAAATATGAATTTAGATGAAGTGGCTTGGAGTGGATAGAACTTTCTAAGTTTCAATAGGTCTTATTCTATGACTTCTTTTGCCAAATTTCTTTCTAACGAATACCATACAAAAATAGCAGAATTTTCTTTACTTCAGAATTCAATGCAAACAAAAAATCCATTATTAGTTGTGATTAATTGAGAAATAGACGAAAAACGAGGAAATAAATCCAAGAAAAGCAAATATTTGAATTATTGTGGGTAACAACATTAAAATCGCTCGAAGCAAAGAGAATCTACTTTCAATGAATAAAAAACACAATACAGTTGCGTTTGTTATTCAGCTAAATGACTAAGGCAACAAACACAACAGTGCTCGTCTATTCTATGCTGATGTATTTGCAACGCATTCAAATTGTGTACGTAGAAATGTTGAAGAAAATTGAAACAAAGTAGACAAGCATTAGAACCAAAAAAAAAAAAAAAAAATCTTATGACATCATCTTTATAATCGACTCACAGTGACTGACTTCATAAAAAGCCCCGGTACGAATAAATACCATACATACGCGTTGAACGTGAATGTTTGTGTGTGTTTGTTTGTGAGCTTGCGTGTATTGTATATTTTTATACATGCGTTCAGTTCTGTTCGTCCGTTTGTTTGAGCCCGCACTTCGATTTGTCACTGTTTACTGTGCACACCGAGTATCGATTACTTTTCAGACAAAGCAATCGCCTGTAAGTAAATGGTTATTGTCGCTGTTTTTTTCTTCATTTTCTAGTTCGTTTCGTTATTTGACTCGTTTGTTAAATTTAACACAAAATGTGCCACTTGAATTCCTGCGCTTGCCCCCGAAAAAACAAAAACAAACGCGTTTCTGTTTCTTCGATCACGAAATTCATAAGATAGGAATAATCAATTCGTGCGAAGTGTGATGATGATGATGCAATCGAGTGGTCGCAATCTGGTTTGTCGTGTTTTGCTTATGTCCATGTGCATCATTCAAAGACGAAGAGGAAAAGAAGCAAAATCTTCGACATTTATTTTAATAATGTGAGCTCAATCATTGAGGCCCCAATGCGATCGTATAATCAGGAAATTATCCGATTGAAAGCAGCGTCATTTGAAAATGTTTATGACACCATACACACTCATGGACAACAACAACATTAGAATGAATTGAAAAAAAAACATGTTGGCTAATGGAGAAAAAAATTCACTTTTTTCTAAACTAATTAAATCGCATAAAAACACCAAAACATTTCCTCAGCTGCCATGTGGGACTTTCGAGCATGAATCTTTTTCTATGCCATCTATTTTCAGACGTATTCGAATTATGCCGAGCCCAACAAATAATCAAGTGCGCGCCACACTCTCAATAATAATAATGCAAAAATACACACACAATCTTGACGCACATACACGCCACACTGTCTGAAAACAATTATTCAATTCGTCACTCTATAATTAGATTATAGAAATGAGCTTTTCATTACTCATCAACGATTCCATCGAATTTTTTTTTTTTGGCAAACTGAAAAAAGAATAACAACATTAAGTTACTCATTTATGCTTCATACGCAATGTCACTTTTTCATATTGCTATTCGACTCGACCTACCCCATGAAGCGTGACCTAAACTCAAACTATAAGCAGCTGCTGAAATTGGAAATATATGAGAATCCGTTTTTATACATCAAAATCTAACAAATTTGGACTTTTTGAACGTTTCAAATTGAGATGAGTTTCATGTTGAGAACACAGTTTTGTTATGGATTTTTGGAAAGATGGATTTTTAATGGATTTTGATAATTATTAAAAAAATAAGGAAAAATGAAAAAAAAAAAATAAAATTTCAATAGAAAATTAAACGAAACTCATTTGACTTCAATTCAATTGACAAAAATTGATTATTATTCCATCGCATATGGGAATCAATTTTGTGGATTTACTTAGGATGTATACAAAAATTCGTCCTATTTTCTTTGGACACAGGCATTGAATGAGATTTCACTTGATTCTACATTTTCTTGCAACTTGCCCTTGATTCTTCTGATCATAGTCAAATGACAATACACATTTATGCCATTTAACATCAGAACTATGAAATTCCTTTTATCAAATGAAAAATCTTTCACGAATTTGGTGAAACTTTCTAAGTTTCTGCTTTTCTCGAATTGTTTCATATGTAATTCATTGGAATTCAATTAGTAGATTGCCAAGACTAAAACGGAATAGAAAAGAGTCGACAAGTTGTGTTCATGGTTGAAGCCAAGATAAAATGTACATTTTTCTCAAATGGTTCTTGTTCAGTGGCCATTAAATGGTAATTTGATGAACGTGATTCGTCGTAAAATGATATGCGAATCAATTAGACCATCAATGTTCTATTTTGTTTATTGTCGAGGGAATAAGTGTATTGGTTCTTTCCCATGTTATGCCTGTGTGCGTTTGTGTGTGCGTGTGTGTGTATGTATGTCGGGAGTGAGTAGAATATCAGTGAGAAAGTGAAAGCATTGGAAATTCTTGCACGGCCCGATAAGAATTTTTCCATCTATTACAATAGACCAATATAAATCACAATGGCTTCGTAGGAATCACGTAAACAATCGAAGGATAAATTGTCTAAGCAAAAAAAAAACGCAGCCGCACGCGTACTCGTCGCATTTTTTCCCTACATCTGTTGAGAAAATAAAATGCTTGACAAAAATCTGCATCAAACAAATTACGCACAATTTCTATTGGTGTTTTTAGTTTAGACGTTGACACCATTTCAGAGAGCAGTCATCAATATTTAACGATCCCGTTTAAGTAACGGGAACCAATTTCGTATCGAACGTTCGATATCGATTGATTGTGCTACTGAAATAGAGTATCTGTAACATTCGAGACCTAATTGACTGTTAAAGTTCCCATCAATGTGCGACACAACGAAAGATAGAGCGAGAGAAAAATAATATCGAGCGTGAGCAAACGGAAAGCAATGGACGACACGCACAAATGTATATCAGGCCCCGATGATGTAATCAAGCCAGTGTGTGCACGGAATATAGTATTTGATTTGTTCTGACTTTTTTCTTCTTCTTTGCTACAACAAAACATATTCATATTCGAGAATATTTATTTGTATCCTGATGGTTGTTTGTTCCTCACCATAGCCGAGGTTCGTTCGATGTATAAACAAAGAAAATGGGGTCACACACACACGCACACATACACAAATCGAACCATTCATGATAAATATATGCGTAGATTGTAAACAATGGCTATACCAATAGAACCACTGGTCTTTATAGCTTTTTATGGATGAAAATTACATTTGACGCGACATTAAAACTACCCCAATGCCCACCATATACACAAGGAAAACTCTGCTATCGTTATCATCCGAACCAATCTTCTAAAACTAGGTTAACTTGGAGTGTAGTATGTATCGAACGTTGTTCAAACACAAAACGAAAAACAGGGATATTAGTGCGGCAGCTATAGAGGAACACTGAACTATTCGATAGGTTGAAGCGCTAAACTGAGATTCCATTCGGATTTTTTTTTTCTAATATATTGAAGCCGCACCAAAACAGAAATCCATTTTCTGAAATTAAGTTGATTACATTTTTCATTTCGAAATAAAGTGGCCGTTCCTTTGGTTCTCGGCAGCGAGGCTGTGTTTCAAATCAATTTTCTGATTGTGTTTAGTTGGGATTTTAAACTTTGAATAAACGGGTTGTCTATCCACACTAAGCGAGGGTCTTTGATTTGTTTAACCTAAACAAAACGAGGTTCTTGTTTAAACTTGTACTGAACGGTTTTTGTTTTTGTTTCCCTTTCAGATCCGTAAATATGACAAATTAGGACGACGTGGAGCAAACAACGAACATCGAAACGAATACACCTACATACTACGAATTCAAGGAATTTAGTTGAAACAAACAAAGAGAGTTGTTAGCAAAATGGGAATCAAAGAGCAATCGGAACAGTTAATCAATCGAAACCTAGTGGCCCTGGTGGCGGTGATATTTCTCTTTTACGGTGGTTTGAGCTGCTTGTATTCAACGCTGGTACCACATTTATTGGAATTAGGATTTACATCAGAGGAAATACGATACATACTCACCACAGTTGCATTGATCTCCATCATTGGCCCCTTAATATTTGCCCCATTAACCGACCGAATTGCTGATCGTCGCAAATCATCATATGGCCGTTATTTGCAAGTGATTATTGCCCTTCTGTTAATCTTTGGATCGATTGCATACGGGCTGTTGCTACTGGTACCGGCCGTACGACGTGAAGCATCACGAGAGCCAAATGTATCATTTGGATGCGATCCATCGGGTGGGATTATCTTTCAAGAACGTTGCTCGGAGGAGAAGTCTTGTTTCCATTGGGAAAAGGAAAAAGTCGGTCAACTTATTCTCACCAACTGTTCATACACATGCCAAAACCCATCACAATTCGAAAGCCTATACAATCCATGGCTTAAACCGGCACCAGCCGCTTTCAGCGAACCACCATCATCAAAAGAGAAACAAGAAGACTATGATTATGCTGATATCAGTGGACCACCCAAAAAGTTAGTACTCTTTTCTTTTTTCAACCAAACTTTTATCTCGACCAAATTAATTTCATATTTGTCCCGTTCCTTTCATTTCGTTAGCTCCGATTCTGAACTATCGGATGGTACAATTGAAGCCAGAAACCGGCGAGAAGTTGAAAAGGTATACGTTCATCCACCGCATTTGTGTATGCAAAAAATCGTCGATGGCAAACCGATTATCGAAAGATGTCATGCGTACACCAGTGATTTGGATTGGGTTAAAGTGCAAGCAAGCCTTAGAAGTGCCACCAATAAAGAGAATGAAACTCATTCGGCTGAATGGTGCAATTATCCATTGGGTAAGATCAAAATCGATTTTGTTCTTTGCCCATCAAACGGACAAGATTTGCAATTTCTTTTGTATTTATTGCACAGATGGCTTCACATGTGACATACCCGAGGAACAAATCAAATATATGAAGGCGTATACGGGTAATCCAGATTGCAAACCAATGATTGAGTGCGAAGTATCGGATCCATACAGCGGTCCAAGCGTTTTGGCAGAAAGCCAATGCTATAAAGTAAACTAGAATTGCCACCAAATTATCAAATATATGGATGTAATACCGTCTTTCGTTCCTTTCAGATTGTGGGAGATATTGAAGTAACTTATTGGTCATATTTAGCAATTCGTTCGCTGGCTGACATCTTCCCAGTATCAATCATCGTTTTGCTGAACACAGCAATTATAATTGCAACGCGCGAAACATCGACTGGACGTTCGGAAATTGGTCGTCAATTGGCATGGGGAGCATTTGCCTGGTGCATTTTCCCACTCATCTTTGGTATCGTTGGAATTCACGGTGATATTTTTGTGCCTGTAATTGTATGCATTGTCTTATGGATACTTGCGGCACTCATCTTACTCTTCAACAAGAGTATCCCATTGAGTCCACCTGAATGGTAAGTGTGTTATGAAGAATAATTGCTCAAGGTCTTTTTGTGGCTAGTGACAATCGCAATCTTTACAATTAATTTATAGGTGGTGGCAAATCTACACTGGCGGCATGATGGCCATTCCATTGTCTGCCATTCGCAAGTATACACCAGAAATTATTGCACTATCCGTGGTTGCCGTTGTGTTGGGTGCCTTTTGGAGTATCATCGATACGTATCAACCATCGCATTTGCTGGACTTGAATCTCGACGATGCACCACTTGTCATTAAATTCGCTTTAACTGGTGAGTTTATGGTGTCATAAATAACATTTTCATTTGAAAAAAAAAATTCACCATCAGTTCGAATGAACGTTGAAATGTACAACGTTCATTTGAAAAACGTTTTCCATTTACTCACAATTAAAATACGAATTCTTCAACTTCCAACTAATCGATATTCTTTTATGCGTTTAGTTGCTGCCATTCCGGCCATTTTCATTCTGTGGAATGCTGAACGTATTGTTGACTACTGTGGTCATGCCAATGTTTTGATTGCCGCATTCGCCCTGCACATCCTTCGTTTCACCGGATTGGCTTTGATGGATTCACCATGGTATGCACTGTTGACGCATTCATTGGAATCGATTACACTTGTCTTGGTATTCGTGACATTGGTGTTGTACATGAGACATTTGGTGCCGCGTCGCCTCATTGCCACTGGTCAATCGGTTCCAGTCATCGCCACTCTTTGCCTTGGCAACGCCATCGGAACCTTAGTCGCACCAGTCTATGCTCAGGGTTTCAGGTATACCACATGATGTTCAATTGAAATTTTTTTTTATTGAAATTTCACCGATATTCATTTGCTTTTTTTGCATTAAAATCTAAACCAAAATTTTTTGAATCTTTTTTAGACATTTGTTGTTCCGTGATTTAGCCATCGTTGCAGCAATCGTTGGCACATTGTACTTCATTTTGTATCATTTCTATTTGGGTAAACGATGTGCTGCCGCTCAGCAGCCACCACCATCGCCAGCCGAACTACAAACTCACAACGGATCGACACAACAGAATGGCGCATCATCATCGCCATCCAACGGCAACAGCTATACACCATTGCGAATTTACCACAATAGCCGTGGACGCAAGGGCCAGTTCCGATACTAAAGAATTTATTATCAGAAACAAAAACAAACCAACAACAAAATTATACATCAAAAAAATATCGATGTTTTTCTTAAGAACACGTGAACGATTAGAATTGTTTTATTTTGCACTGCCTGATATAAGAGAGACTCATAAACGTACAACGGATTCTGTTTCGAATCATAGGATAATATTCACAACTGGCAAGAGTATACACGAAAAATATAATCGAACTCTAATCGAATCAGAATATTTGAAATGATTCAATCACACATACACACGCACACTCAATGTCTTTGTCAATCCAGCACCGAATTAAGTGTCAATCGTTAGCACGAAGAAGAATGTAGTTTTTTTTTTGCAAACTCTTAAATCAGGTTTTAATTGCAAACATAACATTTCGAATTATTTTCATGGTTTAACACACACACACACACATCACAAATAGTATACACACACACACACACCATCCGGATCGGATTTCATATGGGAAATGAGCAAGTTGGAAAATATGAAATTCAATAAGTCAACGATTGGTCCGCCAATCAAATTTACAATGCCAGAAGAAAGAGGAAAATCCGTCTGCAAATTTACACTCATCCAATCGATCGATGTATCTTGATCGGTACAACAATCATATATGTCCAAATATCACGAATTTATATGAACCAATTTGGTACAATTATGATGAACGCCCTCAACCACCAAAACACTCAACTACACTCAACGCCAGAATTCTTAAAATATGTGCCTGTGAAGGAAAATGAAATGAACCAGAAATCTTTCGAATGCTCTATGAATCGTCACTGCTTTTTTTTTCTAAATAGAAACAAACAACAACAACAAATGCATTTTAACTATAAGATAGCAAATAAAAAAAACTGTCAATTTTGTAAATCAAAGATTTTCTAACAAATAGGTCTTAAATATATAATTGCAATTTGGATATTCTATGTAAGCAAATCTACGACGAGAGATAAAAAAAAAATAAAATGAATTTTCGTTATGTGAATTGTTTCAAATATATTTTGTTCGCACACACACACACACACTATGAAATAATGAGTACGAAACGGGCAGCTGCAACGTTGCGCTTCAAACACAAAAAGCGCCATCTGCACATATTTGACTATTCAATGTGAACTAGCTGTCATCAGTATCGTTGAGTCATCGATGCTCAATTTTGGGTCGTAAACGGTACATTGAAAATTATCATCGATACTGATGACAGCTAGTTCACTTTGAATAGTCAAATATGTGCAGATGGCGCTGTAAAATCGTTCACCACTGACAAACGTCAAATTAGTATGGAAAGATGTCAATGTTGCAGCCTCCCGGTACGAAATCAAAACAAGGTACAAAACGAGGGACGTATGACACAAAAAAACATATATTTTATGACATCATCCGCAAAATAATTAATGATGTTCCATAAGGTATATTTCAACAATTTTGAACAATAATTTTTCAGTTCCATAGGTTCTACCAAATTATGGCAGAAATTTCTTCAAATTACAATATTGCCACAGAACGAAGAAAAACTCACACACACACACATTAGATTTAATGCGTCGAAAAAAGATTCAGTTTTTGTGAAGGTTAAGTAATGACAAGGCAAAAAACAAAAATATATATATTAATACGCCGCCACCGACAACGACAAACAAGAGCAATGAAGGGAATTTTCGTAAAATACATATTTGAATATGGAAATAGCAACATTGTACTAGATTCTATTTTGATTTCATTTTTATTATTTACTACACTAGAATTGGTATAATCACCCAGAACAATTATTCTACCATTATTGGTGAAGTGGGACTGAGGTAGAATAACCCAAATTTTTACACAAAAAAGGGAGAAACGCAAAAATTTATCATTGTAATTTTCATATTCGAAAGAATGTTCTCAGGTGGCTCAGCAAAATTTCAGACATTATTTCACCGTTTCAACAATTCACCTCACACTGGATTATTCCGCTATCATCATCATTTAAAAAGGAAAAGAACACCTCAAGGCGCTTTTTTTTTCATTAAGTCAGTATTCTTCGAAAGTATATTCTGGAAAGGGTTTTCCAATCTCTTTCAAAATACTCGCTATAATCGTTTTCGATTGATTTTCAGCCAGATCGTGGATAAAAAATAAGATGAAAAATTATTATTGCTCTGAATCTAATTCACAAATTTATGGATTAATTTATTACAAGTTATTTATTTTGTTGAATTATCTGCAATAAATGTTGAACTAATAGTAACCTGGTGTTTTCGACGTTTTTTTTGTTTTGATGCTTTAAAATCTTTTAGTGAATGAAATTTTGTAAAGAATTTTTCTTCATTCAATTATCAGGCCATTGGTTAGCGATCAGACGATAGCTGGGCGATTTTTGTTCAATCATTGGAAAAAAGGGTGAGGTGCTTCGTATGTTTACCAAAAGTGCCGAAAATAATTGTAGACACATCACCACTCTATGCCCCATGCAAATTGCCTCATCTGTGGCGTTTTGATTTTGTAATGAGATCATCTTTCGATTACAGTTTTAAAACTTTAGAGTTGTTGAAATTTTCTATCCCATCGAAGTGTGAATCTATGAGCATTTTATATGAGTAAATTTGCTGAGTGGTTCCTGTTAACAGATTTTTGTGCCGTTCTCGGAACTTGTTGGAGCTATTGTGATGATAAATACCGCAATTTGAAGCTAATTGCAATTGCTTTCGATCCCGCCTGACCGATTTTTCATATATGATCTTGTTTCATAGTCACACACCAGATCAAATATCACAAATCGGTCAGGCGGGATCGAAAGCAATTGCAATTATCTTCAAATTGCGGTATTTATCATCACAATAGCACCAACCACTACTGAGAATGGCACAAAAATCAGTTGACAAAAAGTATACTCATCAAAATTACTCATATAAAATTTTGAAGTCATTTTTAGTGGTGTGTGACTGATTTTCAAACGAAACCACTGTTCAGCAATCAATTGGAGGCGTTCCTCTTCGGAGAGGTAACACCCCAAACCGTACCCAAGAACACTATCTTGGTCAACATGTACCAAAGTACGCAGAAAATAGCCTTCACCAGGCACGAATGCTGGACCTGCAGTGAGACCTGTACAAAACATATTATTAGTATAAGTACTTATGCACTTATACATTTAATGTTTATATTTACCTTCATCTGCAAAGTGCTCGAGGAACAAATTACGCATCTGAGTCATTGTGGCGTATTGCTTGCCCTCATACATTATTTGAACGTCATCCAGCTCATGTCCAGGCTGAATTTTTTTTATATTTTGAGAGGTATTGGTTCCAGGAACATGGCTGAATATTGTAGAGGGGGAATTTCGGTTTTAATATTTTCATTAGAAATAGTCAACCGTTTCCACGCTTAACCAACTGTCTTTCCCCATAATTTCTTTCCCATTGTCTGCAAAACATAAATATTATTTTAAATTAAAAATGAATATTTGATAATTTATATGTCTTCTTTTTATTCATTCAACACTCATTTTCAACTCTGTTTCGGCTTTCTTCTCACAAACTTTGAGGTGTACTGTATAAATAGCCACAGTCTCAAGCATGACACGGCAATATTTACATGGTGATAGCTGATAAAGAAAAATTCAACATTAAATCCTGATAAGGAATGATTTGGAGAAAAAAACGGATCAATAATTAAACATTTATTCACCTTATACTCATCGCAATCAATTACACAAATGTATTTGTTCAATTCTACCGTATTGTCAAATGTGCGTCCACTGGCTTTACATCTTTCTTCCTGTAATCAAATAAATAGCGTAGAGTGAGAATATATTTTATAAATATTTCATGATAAAACTCACATGACTTTTCGGTAGACATTCGTGGTTTCTGTATCCAGCTCTGTTCGCAAATCTTTTACCACAGTTTGTACATTCAACCATAGGGAAAGTGCCACAATACATTTCAAATGTAAGTCATTTGACACATAGCAGTCAATGCCATCTCAATTCCAACTCATTGAATCATTGTATTTTTCGGCAATTTTTTTCAAACGTGTATGGCTTTACTAGAATATAATCAACTTTACGGCGACGCTAACAGCTTCTCTGTGGGCCGGTACGATTTGCGCGCAACTGATAAGAGATAAGAGATAGATGTCTTTAGCAATGTTATAGAAGACCTCAAGTACTACAACTGCCGAAGACAACAAGTTGTTATCTCTTATCAGTTCCGCGGAAACCGTGAAAAACCGCGGAGGCTAGACGGGATGCCAACATACTTCCTTTTAACGCAGATAGAATCAACAGAAAACATACTTTCCTTTTCAAAAATATAAATCGACAAAAAAACATACATTCTTTTACGTCTCACGAATAGATATACAATAAATTAATATAATAATTCACGTTTCAGAAATGACTGAATCAATAAGAAACGTTTAGATAAAATTCAATCGATATAAAATTAATAAATATTCACTGATTCAGCATTGTTATGCTTACCACAGGTCTGACTTCGGAGCAGGTCTCTTCGTACCATCCGATAAATTTGTTGCAAGTGCAAAACAAGTAGTCGTCCTTCCATTTCGTATTTTCGCCTTTCAACGACGATTTCTCGGCCAAGATGAAAAGCTTGCAAACATATTTAACTGATGCAATGGCCACGATTTCTTTATTGTATCCTTTGCAGATGCAATAGTAGCACAGCTGGGGCAATAATGTGTCTCGCTCCAACACACACCGCAAGGCGCATAATACGAACTGAGCATAGAGAGCCAACACACAGACACGCGCATGTTACAACGATTGAGTGTGCACAGGACTGAGAACACTCTATCGTAGTAGCCATGCGTACTGGTGTGTGTTGGCTTCCTACGCTCCTATGCTCCGTTCGTATTATGCGCCCTGCGGTGTGTGTTGGAGCTTGTCATTATATTTCGCATTTTCAACGCGGCGGGCTGAGTTTCAACGCACCGAGAGCATATGGAATGCATTTGAATTGTGTACTGTTCGTTCATGGTGATACAGCGAGCGGAGCTCAATCACATTCTCTCACTAATACTGACATTTATGAACTCTTGATACCCTCCGTCGAAATAAGTTGATATTTTTAACCATTCATGCAAACATACTCTACTTATTCAAAAACCAATGTGTTAAATTGAAGTATTGGTCGCCGCCAAGTGTTCAAATGACAGTTCCATTGATTATGTTTGCTTAATACCTACAGTCAGTCAAAAAAGTATTCGGCCACTTGAATTTTTCTGTAGCCATGTTTGTCGAGAGGTCGAAATTGTGCGCAAAAAA